AGCCGGCTCGCAGCGCCTGCTGTTCTCGCACGACCTGGTGTCTGGCCGTTACCGCGGCTCGGTGCACTTCGGGCTGGTGCGCCTCATCCACGGCGAGGACTCGGACTCGGAGGGCGAGGAGGAGGGCCGCGGCAGCTCGGGCTGCTCGGAGGCCGGGGGCGCGGGCCACGAGGAGGGCCGGGCCAGCCCGCTGCGCCGTGGCTACGTGCGCGTCCAGTGGTACCCGGAGGGCGTCAAGCAGCATGTGAAGGAGACCAAGGTGCGGCGGGCGGGCGGGAGCGGGGACCGGGGCCGCGCTGGGGCCGCCGCAGTGGCCGCGGCGCTCCGTGCCAAGTCATTGCAGCAGCCGGGGCGCGCACGGCAGCCGGGCATCCCTGGCCTGGGACCCGGCTCCTGGGCATCCCGGCTGGAGGGGGAGGGGACTCGCGAGCGATGCTACGCAGCGGAGTGGGCCTGGGGTGATGGATGTGGATGGACGCCCGTGGGGACCTCTCCTGGGTTCTGGGGCACGCTAGGCATGACAACAGTGTGGGGTTTTGCTGACATCCCCCCCGCAAAGGAGCTTCATGCTGCATTGTGCATCGAGAAAGGAAGGCCGGACCCGGGCTGTGCAAGGGAGGGGGTAGTGGGCATTCCAAAACAAAGATAGAGGTATAAACCCAAGAACTTCACCAGACGCTGGCAGAATGCATGATGGTGAATCAGCCCAACGTCTTTTTGTTTTACCGCGCTGCCTCATTTTAATTGAGTAAAATCATAAGCAGACCTGTGGTATTAATAGTAAGTACTGGAGGAGATGGTGACAGCCGGGCTGGGTACCTTTGGACTTCTTGGAGGGAAAAAGAAATTATATAGAACCATGGATAGGGCCGAGGGACGCGTGTGAAAACAGGGTTTTCTTTAAGCTGAGGCTGTTATTAAGTAAATACCACACTCCGACGACTGTATTGGGCTGAGGCTAGTGGATGGATAGTTTTACAAAACAAAGGGTCTGTCATCATTAACCTGAAACCTTAAACTGAGGTTTGTTTGGAGGCTTGTTTTTCTGAGTGTGAATTCCTATCGGTGATGTGCACACACACCTCTGTATCTCCCAGCTCTTCCTTTCCTCCTGCCCCTCCCCTTCAGAAAACATTTCTAAGCATGAATCAGGCCTTCACTGTTGTAGGTCCCTGGGAGGTGAGAGGTCTGATTTCAGGGGAGGCTGTTAATTAGTTTTTGTAGTGCTGGGGGTTGGACCCAGGGACTTGGCACATGCTAGGCACACACTCTTTCACTGAGCTACAGCCTCAGACCTTTTTGAGATAGACTCTTGCCAGGTTGCCCACACTGGCCTGAAGTTGTGACCCTCTTGCCTCAGCATCAAGAATAACAGATGTCACACCATCTAACCCATAAGGGGAGGCGCTTTCCAGGTTAACCTGGGATTCTCCCACTGGAAGAAAAAGGCAGTAGGTGTAGTATTAGAAAAGGAGATGTGAGGATGGCATGGACAGGGAACGGCCTTGCTGCTTAGCGGAGGCTGTGATCCAGTTCCTTGAGGTAGAAGTGATTGCTGATGCCGCATCGTCTCTTGTTCTCTGAAGCGAATGTCCACAGGCACAGGGCTATACACAGGACTCCTGGCTTCCCCTCAGAAAAAGTAAATCAGGCAGCAGCTTCTCTGACTTGTAAGAAAAGTCTGAGTTTATTTGCAAAAGTATTTGGAAAATGCTTAATTTTGTAGCAGAATGCTTGTTAAAAATGACCAGTACTGTGTCAGGAAAAATGCGTGTGCACGCATACAACATGGTGTTAACACACAAAGTGGTTTTCTGTGAGTTTTTAAAAATGCCTTCCACCACTCCTCTTCTCTAAAGATCTGTGACTCTGCCCGGGCTGGGGAGGGGACCTGGCCCTGGCTAAGGCAGATGGGGCCCAGCTGGCTCCTGGGAGCTGCCATGTTTATCAGTTGTTGCTCCTGTTCATCTCGACATTGGTGGTTAGCTTTGTTTGCAGTTATGTTCCCTCTGCCTCCCCCGCCACGTGTAATTATGTAAACTTTGACTTGAACCACCTATTTTGGAGTTACATAGAAAACAGCTATAAAAGCCTTGGGTAGGTTTTGAAGTTTCCCGCTTGTGACTTGAGTGTGTTGGAACCTATCCTATGGCTCTGGTGGTATTTCCTCTGCCCTTGCAATTTCTGTAGCTTTTAGACTTCACAAAGGCCAAGGGGCATAGGAATTCCAGGGAATTGATGGAGTACGTAATGCCAGTTCCAAATGACAGGACTCTTAGCTCTGTTTTAAGGACTGCAGAGTAGCTTGGGGTGGGGGTGTTAATGTGGTTATAGCTAGCAGCTGTCTGTCAGAGTGAACTGTGGACCCAGATGACCTTGGGTGGCTGAATGCCCCTTGCTTTCCTCTTGGGTTCCCACCAAGGGGTCCTAGGACCTGGAGGTACTGTGGTTAGGGGGTCTTCTCACCTCCCTTCCTTATGGATAGCTCGTCAGTGCAGTGGAAGATCAGACCAGGCCTGGGTACTTATAGCTAGCTGATCCTGCTCCTCAAGAATCTAGTTGTAAGATCAAATTCAGTTATTGGTAGGATAATGTAGGGATAATTTTGAGAAAACCTTTTTTTTTTTTTTGAAGTTGACAGCTATTGGAATCATTTTAGTAGTATCCATTTAATATGGAGTGTCTCTTATGCCCTGGAGTATTTTTATAGTTCCTATGTTCAGTTGGAGGGTGATGAGTGAAGGCTTAACAGTCCCATTTCACTATGGAACTTGGGCTGCCTGAGATGCCTTGCTGGCCTGAAGCTCACTGTCCTCCTGCTGTAGCCTCCTGAACAGCTGGGATTTCAGAGTATGCCATCATGCCCTGCTTAATACCTGTCTCTTTCTTTGTAAAGATTTATTTTTAATTGTGTAAATGTATATCTGTGGGGGAAATGTGCATGTAAGTTCTGTTGACTAGGTAGTCAGAAAGAGGGTATTGGATCCTCTGGAGCTGGACTTCCAGACAGTTGTGAGCTGGCAGGTGTGAGTGCTTGGAACTGTGAACTCCCTCAGAAAGAGCTCTGAACCACTGACCTATCTCTCTGTCCCCAGTACCTCTTGTTTTTTGGGGGGAGTGGAGGGGCTTAGGTCTTTTCTGAGACAGAGTCTCCCTGTAGCCCTAGCTAGCCTGGAACTCACTATGTAGACCAGGCTGCACCACAAAGATGCATCTGTCTTTGCCTCCTGAGTGCTGGGATTAAAGGCATGTACCACCACACCCACCTAATACTTGTCTCTTAATGTAAGTAGTGAAAATATTTGCAAAGCAAGATGAAGAAATGCCAGCGAGCCCTGTTCTACCACCTCCATATAAATGAGCAGTAGAAATAAAGTCACTTCTTCCACAAAGCTTGGAATTTATGGTTGTGCTCCTGATGCTCCCAGCAATCAAGATGAAGTTCTTTCATTTTGGTATTCTCAGGTGAGAACAAGGGGCCAGTGCCTCCTACAAGCTCTCTTCTCCTGAGTTTCCTGACCTCTTCAACCTGGTGGTTTGTTCATTGGCTTGAAACGTCTCACCAGTCGTCTGGAGGCTCGTGCCTTCCCCATCGCTGGTTCCTCATCCTTTGAGTAAAGCCAGAGGTTGACAGCCCCCTAAGCTGTCCTGACTGGACAGGGTAGTCTTTCTTGCTGCTGTCGTGCTTGGACAGAGTAGTCCAGTGAGAAAGCTGGCAAGACGGCCGTCTGTCAGGTCAAGCTTCCTTTGCCTGTTTTGCTTACTCCCTCTTTCCCTTTATCACTTTTTTTTGGATAGGTTTCCTGTAGTCCAGGCCACAAACTTAACTTTGTAGCTGAGGACAACCCTGAACTTCTGATCCGCCTCCTCCACCTCTCAGATGCTAGGCTTGCAGGCCGATGTGAGTGCCACACCAACTGTCGCTTTCCCAGCTCTTGTGCCTCCTGAGTTGCTACAACACTTAGGGTCTCCCAGGTTTGAGATACAGTGTCTGAATTCAAGCTGTCTGTGATGCCCCTGCCTTTGTGAGGCCATGTGTGGGATGTGTGAAGCATCCCTCATGACAGGTCCCTCAGGAATTGGCTTTGCAGTTTATTTTTGGTTCCTACTTAGGCCAGCATTTCCATAGGGAAAGCTATTTAGGTGTGGCGCCACAGCTCTACAAGTCTGTCTCACTCATTCAGGTGTGGGCCCATTAAAAGCTATTGTTCTTAGTGATGTAGCAGGAAGAAGTTATGTAAAGTTAACCAAGATGCAGGACTGAGTGCTTCTAAATTGCATTTTATTCTGATAGGATCACAGCTTGGAGACTCCTAACAGCTGTCCTGTGATTTTTATTCTTTGTCCTTTGGTTTTTCCCCTGCAAACTCCTAGACCTCAGGGTCTCAGTCCTGCCTCTGTGTGGTAATTGCCTGACTCAAGGGCACTTTGACCAGATGAGGGGTGTGTGTTTATATTGCAATTGGAAGTCAAAACCCTTGGGTCTCTTCTGACTGGCACCTGTTCTGATTGGCCTTGGCTAAGTCATTGCTTCATCTTCTCTGCAGTGCAAGCCAAGGTCTGCCTTTCTAGCCCCTAATATGTGCCCCCACAGAGGAAAGGAAGCATAGCCTGAGCATGCTTAGGAAGGCCACTTGGTTGTTAGCAGGCACCTATCCTGGTGTGGATTGGGCAGAGCCAGCCGTGGCCCTTCAGGACATCGCCTTACCGGGTCACAGGGTGGAAAACACAAGGCACAGCTATGGGGCTTGATTCAGTGGCGTGGCGTGGGTAATGGCAATCGGTCTGACTGTGGTAAGTCTCTTCCAGCAGTTCTCGGGGGCCTAGTGTCTTTGTAACTTTATAAGAAATTCAGTAATACACACTTGATCCAGTGGCGTGGGGTGGGTAATGGCAATCGGTCTGACTGTGGTAAGTCTCTTCCAGCAGTTCTCAGGGGCCTAGTGTCTTTGTAACTTTATAAGAAATTCAGTAATACACACTTGATCCAGTGGCGTGGGGTGGGTAATGGCAATCGGTCTGACTGTGGTAAGTCTCTTCCAGCAGTTCTCAGGGGCCTAGTGTCTTTGTAACTTTATAAGAAATTCAGTAATACACACTTAAAGTGAAACCTGCCAACCTCCAGGAGTGGAGAGAGCCGATCTATACACATCCAGGTGAACTTGTGTGTGGTTTCCCGCATCTAGAAGGCCTCTTCTGAAACTCCCAGGAGTTAAGTAAGCAAGTGAATGACTGCAAGGGTGGTAGAGGACCATTTTT